ACAGTTAAACTACTTGCAGTACACAAGTCAAATGCAACAAAATGCTTAGTCGTGCTTTGTTTTCTCCTTGCAAAAAGCCACATGGTGGAAGATTGTCATAGTACTCAAGCAAAGAAGTATTAATACAGACCTGGGCCCATCGTTGTCCTACAAGATTAATGGCCCTCTCCATTCACCAAATATACAGGAATTGTTTACCTTGCTTGTAGACGATGTTTTTGTGACCATCATTAGCTTATTCACTATATCTACCTGAGGAGTTGTGGAGAGTTTATCTCTCGTTCTATCACCTACGACCTACCAGTTGTGAATAATGTATCACACACGTGTGACTCAACATCAGGGTAAGTATCTTATTAAGATCTATTATTTATTGCTTATTTTGTAAATGACATTCGTGTCAGACTTTTGGCAGTCATATTGCTTTTGTGACAGCTTGCTAGTCTGACCACTGTCATTCACTGAAGAAAATCAAACCAACTGCCATAAAAGCTACAGCGTTAAGTTATCAGATTGACAGCAGGCACTGTGATGCTTACTAAAAGGAAAGTTAGACTCCTCAGCAGATGTTCTACTATCAGTGAACTACAACAGAGAGTACTTTGAAAGTATTTGAAAGACACAGCTTCAAGTGTAGACAGAGTTAAAAATCAATTCATCTTGCCTTCAAAACTTCAAATACCTCTTTCAGTTATCTAATCTAACTTCATAAACTAATGTGTACCAAACAAACCTAAAAATGATAAACAAACAAAAACAAATAAATAAATAAAAAGAAACGCAGTACATTATACACACCCTTAGCATACGCGAGCACAGTCACAGCATAGTTTGCTAGTCACTCACATAACCAAAGGTGCACATATGACACATAAATTATACCTGGAACACTGTTATGCTGGCCCATAAGAGACTGTCAAAGTTCTTTCGGTCACAGGTAGTTGAATTGTCTGAGCCCTTTTTGCAGAATTTGCAACCGAAAAGATTCATGCCGAGTATA